ACACACACACACACAACTTTCCCTTTTTTTTTTATGACCGAGAAATCCCCGAGAGTGTGGTGCATGGTTCAATGCTCGAAGGATAATGGATCTTCCCTCTATCCTTTTTCACTTAAACATTGGGCTTTTATTTCTTTCGCTCTCTACTTTCTGGCAAGAGCTTAGGGGTTTGCTTTAGGAAGTAACTTAAGCCTAGAGTTATGACCACGAGAAATGGAAACCAAGCCACCTGACCAAGCTCAATATCATAGATTAGAGATGGAACAGAGAGTTTTCTACATAGCTCGAGAAATATAAGTCGAACTAAAATAGAGCAATAGTTGGATATGTAAGAATCTGAAAATAGCATTGGCAGGTACCAGAATATCTGCAGAAGATGCAATTTATAAACTCCAGAATTTCAATACACATGGGAAATTGTGAACATCGAACCCTTTTTCTCATTCCTTTACTAAAACAAGAAGTTTATATTGCCTCACAGAAGAGTTAAGTTACTACTCTTAATTTTTTATATTCATGATCTTTTCTAGAGAATCGGATGGTTTTCCTAATAGCCTTTTATTCGGTATGATTTTAGGCTTTATGGGTTAAAATTCTAGTGTTCTTCTCATTCCTTCAAAGATGCTTTTCTGAATTTTTTGAGCATCTAGGAGACACAATTATCCATACTTCATGGTCTGCTCCTTTGTGACCTTCTATTCCTGGATTTCTTAATCTTCTTTCTTCAGTATTTTCAAATAGAAAGCAAAACTGATCAAAAATCTTTAACTCTGAGAACATTTTAAAAATCTATCTAACAAGACAGAAAAATAACCTCGTGATAGAGCAACTAGTTTTCAGGGTCATATTTAGGCCACACTGAGACGTGTTCGAATTTAACAACCAAAGCTTTCAGCGATGCCCTAGGATTAGGTGTAGCAACAAGCATGATGTATGCCTAATCAATCACATTAAAGGGATAAATCTGCTAGATCTATTAAACTACACCACAGAAATACGAGAATGCTTATATATACAGAAAATTGGTAACATATGTAGCAGAAAATGCTATGAATTTTAACAGGAGAATATGATATATTCCTCAATTACTTCTGAGCACTTTTACTTATCCAAAAAATATCTACCTTGTAGTTCACTTTGAAGAGTTGTAATGTGGAATGCCAGCCCAGCAAAAGTGCTACACCTGCCAACAGAAGTATCTAGGACAAGGTATGAAAAGATATTTAGTTGGTAGTCTCATAAACCAAGAGTAGTTAAGACATCCATAACTACAGATTACTTACATTACCCAGCGCAAGCAAACCCCTGTCGAAGAATAAAATTATGGCAAGAAATGTGAAAAAGATGCCAAACCCAATGAGACCTAACCCCACCTCTGCAAGGTTAATAAAAAATTTCAAGGTCAGATGTTAGAGCTGTAGATCTCGAAGGAAAACTTGAATGCATTTATGGCTCTTCGAAGCCTCTGGCAACGGATAAGGTTTATCATGTAGGCATGCAAACTGATCTCTCTCTACCACACATACACACAGAGACACACAGAGACGCACACACACACAAGCGTGTAAGCACATGTATTCTAATGGCAAGATCAAGCGTGGGTCTAATTCATCTGTGTGAAGAATCATGACAAAAAATAGTTTTTTCCAACCAGATAAATTTCTTTAAAGAAGACTAGCAAAATCATAGCAAAAAATAGTTTTTTCCAACCAGATAAATTTCTTTAAAGAAGACTAGCAATTAAATTGAGTGAATCAACTCATAAAAAAGTTAAATTGTTGAAGAGAGGACATATTTTTATTTATACTGGTCTTCCATATGCTCTCTCACAGGCCGATCATATTATTTTTGTTAGTCAAACACGTGGATTTTTTTTTATTTGAGTGCGGTGAGACTCAGATGCAGGACCTCAATATAATCTGATCATCCAACCGCAAACTTAAGGCAATGAGTCTTACGCTTTTTTTTTTTTGGCGGCGGGGGTGGGGGGGACAAAATTTACCAAGTTCCTTCGAAAAATGGTGAATTCTCTTCGAAGATAAATTCTTATTGAAAATCTGGAGACTGACGGGGAAAGATGAGGATACTATTAGCAGTGAAATCAACTTTTTTTAACAAAGCCTTGTACATAGAGCCGGGGACTTGGAGAACAACAGTGGCTGGAAGTCATTTTTATAGCTTTGACAATGCTGGCTGGAAAGTCAGACATATTACTATCATTATCTGTTGAAAACTCTTAAGAGTGATTAAAAAAATATGGTGTTACTTTATCACAGAATGAACAAAGCCTTTTGATTTTATTCCATCATTATTCACAATAGTGGATATTGGTTACCATTTTTTAAGCTTCTTATTATATACATTATTTTGTTTCATATATAGGTGTGAGAAAATGCATAGCAGGGATTATAAAAATGAGAAAGAAAAACTATACTAACACTATCACATGGAACACAAAATGGAATCTGCAGAAGCTAGTCAAAGGAATGTCGCTCACTTTTTTGCTCGTCTAGTTCATATGCCATCTTGCTGCTACTCTCTTTCTAAAATCAGAGCTGCAATACCTTCCTACAAAACAATTAGCATAAGAATTTATACTTCTTTCCAGTAAGTACATTTCCGATATCACTGATAGTAACAAATAGGTGAGTGTAACGATTAAAGCAGAAAGTCACCCAACCCAGATTCATCCACTTTACTTGATAGTCCTACATGTGTTGAGTTCAAATGGGTCTCAATCCACCGACTGAATCCAATCAGCTCTTTTAGAGCACTGTTAACCAAATTACAACCAATTAAAGCACCTCATTCTTTTATTCATTTTTTCTCCTTTTTTTCTTTATTTTTACCAAATGTTGTTTTTTCTCTTTGAATCTTTCATTTGACAAACTAAGTAAACATAAAATTGAAAGGGCTATCAGCAATTACTCCCATATACAGAACTTCACTTTCCAATATAAACTAATTCTACAAGCGGCAGCAGTTGTAGCAGCTCTTAGAATCGTAGCATGGCTAATTATCAGAAAAGATTGGCTGAGCATTATTCTCAGTTGAACTTTCTTCTTGAGCATCTGTGAGATTCTCAGAAGTGCTACCAAAGGTAAGAGCTAATAGAAAAGTCTTCCATTCAGGTTTTAATTGCCGGCATGCAGTCTTGAGTTCGTTGTTTTTCGAATAAGTTCAAAATGTAAGACGTAAAAAGCAAAATGCACAAGCATAAAACAACAAATAAGCAACGAGTTTCAAAAATACTGCTGCTCATGTTTGCTAGAAGTGAAATAAAACTGAAGATGACAAATGGGAACCGTTCTTAGTAATCACGCAACCCTGATAAGGAATTCAGCATCAAAAGAACCAACGTTCCTGGTTGAGGAGTTAGATGGTGGTGATGTTCAATCCAGCAAGAAGTACAGATTATCGAACATAAAAGAGAAGACAATTTACTAAGCGACGGATCCTATTAGACAATTTTCATGAACCATTCCACATACTCCATTCGTTCCAATTTGTTTGAACTATTTCCTTATTAGTTCTATTCCAAAAGAATGACACAACTCTATATTTCCTTAATGAGAGACTTTTATTGACACAAATTTGTTATAATATGTTTAAGACCACAAGTTTCAAAAGTGTTATAGTATGACATATGTAAGAACACAATTTTCAAAAGTATTCTTTTATTTTTAAATCCATGTCGAGTCAAACTATGCCAAACAAATTGAAACGGAGAGAGTAACATTAAAGAGCTTTTCTTTTTCCTTTTTTTTGGCTTTTCTCATTGACCATCACCTGTACTTTCTTCTTTCCTGAACCAAGAAATCTACTATTTCTTCTCTTTTTTTAATCAAAACGGAATTTTGGCTAAACAAGGCATTCCAAATCTTCTGAAGGGTTTCAAATTCTGCAAACAAAAGGGGTACCTCTATTTTAATCTGTCCTCAAGAAAAAACAAAAGCAGAAACTTTTACAAAAGGGCAAGAATATCGCAATTTTATTCAGCTAGTATAACTGAATTCTACTGTAAAACATCAATAGCACTACTTATATAAATTACCCGTATAATTTAAGACTGATAGCAAGCGGAAAAAAAAAGGAAATAAGAAATTACCAGTTAAAATCAGCTGTTTGCTGGCTATCTGCCTGCAACTCCAGATCTTTCCTCGCTTGTAAAGAGGTTCAGTTACGAGCAAGTTGTACCGTTTGTGTTGAGGTATTTTTAAACAATAAACCGCAATTGAGCAGCGACTTATAAAACGCTTATGAATGAGAATAAAACTCATTCTCAAACGCAACTTAGAGAAATTCAAAAATAGCCACATTTACAAGTGCTCAAAAATAGTCACAATTTCAAAGCTAATCGAAATTTAACCATTTTTTATGTAAGTATAAATATGAACGAAAATACTATTCAAAATTCGAAAAGATACTCCAGCATAATATACTGGAGTTGTATTATACTGGAACTCCAGTATATTAGACTGGAGTTCCAGTATAACCGGTGTTGGATATAAGGTTTGGGTCGTGGGTCGCCCATGTGGACTGACCCGACTCGTTTTAAAAAGAAATATAAAAGGGGATAAAACCTAAGGAGGTTATACGTAGGTTCCAACTCCTAAAAATTACCGCACGTTTTCTTTTAAAAACGTGAGAAGGTGGGGTAGTAGTTAACATCGGAAGTTCTCCCCATCTCCTCTTCTTTATATTCTTCTCTTCAATAGAGAGATTGAAGTGTACGGAAAATTGCAAAAGGAATAACACAGTAACTTAGGCATTTAGTTCATGAACAAAAATTTCATTTTCAGGAGAGACGAAATCGGATTTGGGGCAATTCTTTTTGGTGGTGAGTTCAACGGTTTCCGCCGCATCAACAAGGTACACAATTCGTTATTTTCTCCCCTCGGTTTAATCAAACAATGGCATCAGAGCCAGTGTTGTTTCTTGTTTCTTTAAACATGGTATAATAGAAAACTTTGTTGAAAAAGTTTGGTTCAGAAAATTGAAAAAGGAATAGCCACTATACTCTCACTTTCGCCTTTAGCCGATAACATAGGGTTTTCTGTTCATGATCTCTCTCCAATACTTGCTAGTTCAGAATTTTGAGATATTATAAAGTAAAAGTTAACTTGGCTCAGCAGAATTAAAAATTCGCCGCCATTCACGTGATAGTAAGGCCTGAATTAGACTTCTGATGCTTGTGCCTTGGGATAATCATCCTATTATATATATTATAGTACACTCTCAAGATCTTCTGGTTTTAAGGTGTGACTACTTATATAAGGTGTGTGCATTTGATTGCAAGCTCTTTGTTTTCTCCATTTTTTAGATTAATTAAAGAAGAGACTCTTGATTAGTGTATGAGTTTGTGTACATGCAATGGGTGATTGTTTCACTACTGTATCAAAAATTATTTGATGATGAAGCAAAACAAATAAGGAATATCAGACCATTGAATTACCTGGTTGAAGTACCTGTTATGTGGGACTTTTCTGATTTTGAATTAGTCATGTGAGATTTGTGTTTGAAACTAGAAAAGTGATTTTTATCTACTTAATATAGAAAATTAGTTTAGCCCTTATCCCTTATATTGAAATACTTCTATGAGTTATTATGACATATGTTGTCACATTGAGTGGTTGTAGCCATTCTTAGTATTTTCTTGGTCCAATTTCAAATATGGTTGAATAGGGACAAGTTCGAATTACTCCAAGTGGGAGTTCTGGAAGTCAATGAAGAGTACGACGTAGAAGAGTACGCCGCCGTATGTCATATTCCCGAGGACGTGAAGTCATAAGGAATGATGTTTCCAGGGCGATGCAAAATGTGCTAAGGGATACAAGGGCTATACGAAGGGAAAGGGAAAAGAAATTTAGAGAGCTTAGGGCTTCACTAGCTGAATATATTGGAAATTATCAGTTTACTCGAGATGCACTAATTGATGCTATTGACGAAATTGAACTATCTGATTGGGAAGCCTTAGCAATTTTAGTAGATTCACTTGGAGAACCTTTAGGTGGTATTTTAACTGAAGTTTATCACGAGGTTTGGCCAAGTGAACCTTTTTGGGGTTATGTTCTTAAATTTGAAGCTGGGTGGGAGAACCGTCTCTACAACTATTTGTAATTTATTTAATTAATGAAACTTTGTTATTTGTTTGCAGGATTATATGTCATTTTATTTATTTATTTTTAATGTGTGGCAATTAAAACAAGTATGACATGATATTTAAAATTTTGGCAAGATACACACTATGAGAAATGATTTTATAAAATATTAGTTGAACATTTAGTTGTAGATGATGAATGAAAACGTAATAATCTTTCGATTCTATACTAAGTGTAAAATTAATATTTTATTTAATTGATTTGCCTAAGAGTGTATATCACATGAGAGAATAATGAGTAATAAATACACTTGCATTATTGTTTCATTTAACAGACTATGGCATCAAAAAGTATCATTGCTGACTTGAACAAGGGTGACAAACTGAATGGTAAAAATTACGATAACTGGAGTCGTAAGATGTAGTATGTACTTGAAGAGCAAGATGCTCTTGAAAGTATTAACCATATTATGAGTCACCCAGAGGAGGGTAACACTGCCCAACACAGGAGGGATCTGGAAACTTACAATGTTTGAAAAAAGAAAGATTCCACTGCACGTGGAATTATTGTAAGTTCAGTTATTGATGATCTCATCTACGAATGTGAACAATATCCTACTGCTCAAGCCATGTGGCACATTTAAGGGAGGCATATGGGGGTACGAATGTGACTCGCTTTCGACAGCTGACAATCAAGTTTGACACGTACAAAAAACGTCATGATCACGGTGTCAAGCAACATCTAATGGTGATGTCAAATATGATTGTTCAACTCAAAAGTGTTGGCCATGTTCTCTTTGATGAGCAGCAGGTTCAGGCTGTGATTTGGTCTCTTTCCAATAATTGGGAACATTTGAAGGTTAACTTGGGCCACAATGATAGTATCAAAACTTTTGCTGATGTTGCCCATCATGTGGGTCTTGAAGACGAGCGGCTTGGTGCTGCTAAAGCTCTAGCTAATGCCTTTGTGGCAGAATCAAGTGGTACAAAGAGATCAAGCTTCAAGCGCAAAAGAAACTGAAAAAATGACAGAAAGGGTAAGAAGACCGGAGAAGGACACACTAAGAAAAGAAACAAGCCAACTTCCAAGAAAGGAAAACGGTTCTTCAAGCAGAAAGACAAGAGCAAGATGAAGTGTTACAATTGCCAAGTTCCAGAGTATTTTGCTCGTAAGTGCACTGAGCCGAAAAAGGTAGCATTTCAAAGCGCATCTCTTAGTGCTATATATGTTTCTAACACTATTTTAATAACTGAATCTTATCCTGTATGGATTGTAGACTCAGGGGCCACCGACCATGTGAGCCGCGATAGAAAAGCGTTTATAGAGTTTCGTCGAGTTCCACCTGGATCAAAGCATGTATATGTGGGAAATAATGCAAAGTTTGAAGTCAAAGGGATAGGCACTTACAGAATGGACATGCGTGGTGGCCGATCTATGATGTTGCATGACGTCCTATATGTTCTAGAGATTCTACGAAACTTAGTATCTGTGTTTGTTCTTCTAGATTTAGATTTCAATTTGAACTTTAGTCGCAATGGTCTTAAAATTACTCAAGACAATGTTTTTTATGGTTTTGGACATCGTTATGATAATTTTATTGTGTTAGATTGTAATCCTTCTGGGTATAACTATTATGTTGACCGTTGTGTTATGGCATGTTATTCTAGTAACAATGAAGTTGATGTTATCATATGGCATGCAAGATTAGGTCACATAGGGCAAGATCGAATGAATAGATTGGCTAAGGAAGGACATTTGGGTTCTTTCTCTAAAATTGAAATGCTAACTTCTGAAAATTGTCTTGCCGGAAAGATTACACGTAAACCATTTGGAAAGGCTAAGAGAGCCAATTTTCCATTGCAATTAATTCATTCTGACATCTGTGGTCCAATGAATGTGAGGACAAGGTTTGGTACTTTATATTTTATTGCGTTTATTGATGATTTCACAGGCTTTGGTTATGTCTATTTGATTTCTCATAAATCTGAATCACTTGAATGCTTTAAGAAATATTTGAATGAAGTTGAGAATCAATTAGAAAAAAGGATTAAGACCCTAAGAAGCGATAGAGGGCGTGAATATCTATCAAAAGAATTTGAAGAATTGTGCAATGAAAAGGGAATCACTAGACAGTTAACTATTCCATACACACCTCAACAAAATGGTGTAGCAGAAAGGAGGAATAGAACACTACTGGACATGATAAGGTCCATGATGGCGCAGGAAAATTTACATATCTTCTTTTAGGGAGATGTGTTATTGACTGCAACTTATATATTGAATAAAGTGCCTTCTAAATCAGTTTCTTCCACTCCTTATGAGTTATGAACTGGTCATAAACCAAACTTAAAGGATTTACGATCTTGGGGTTGTGCTGCATATGTAAAAGATTCCTTTAACAAGTTTGGAAAATTAGGTCCAAAAGGCAATAAATGTATCTTTATAAGATATTCAGAACACTCCAAAGGGTGTGTGTTCATTGGTGAATTAAAGGATGGAAGTGTTATTGAGAATGAATCGCGAGATGTCACATTTCTGGAAAATAATTTTCCAAAAAAGGGTGAGGTAAAGAATGGAGAGCCTCTTTATGAAATGTTGAACTCAGATAGTCAGCAAGTGTCTTCTGACACAGTTAATAATCAAATTGATCAATATCTTATTCTTGATCCGAGTGGGAGTGGGAGTGGGAGCGGGAACTCTCAATTCCAAAATCATTCGGACGAACCTGAATTTCAACTACGAAAGAGTGCCAGGAAAAATATACCCAAATTCACTTATGAAATTGAAGATTATATTTTCTTGGTATCTCCCATAGGGATGGATGAGCCAAAGTCTGTGACTGAGGCTTTATCGAGCCCTGGAAAAGATGAGTGGATGAAAGCAATGAAAGAAGAATTAGAGTCCATGAAAACCAACAAAGTCTGGGATCTAGTTGATCTTCCACCTGGGCATAGAGCCATTGGGAACAAATGGGTTCTCAATGTTAAATATAAAGCAGATGGGTCAATAGAAAGATACAAGGCACGATTGGTGGCAAAAGGCTTTACTCAAGAAGCTGGAATAGATTATGAGGAAACATTCTCACCAGTTGTAAAGTTTACCTCAATTCGCTTATCAAATGGACGTGAAGATAGTTTTT